AAGGAAGGAAGGAAGGAAGGAAGGAAGGAAGGAAGGAAGGAAGGATTTCATCATTTCATTTTTTTTTTCTTTTACTTTTTTATTTACTTATTTACTTCAGACCAGGAAACTGTTGCATTTGTGACTTTCTCAAATTGTTTGGGAATGACGAGACTCACCTTGATAGTGTCAGATCTAGGGCTGAACAATTTTGGTGGAAACCCAAACTTTTGCCAAATTTTTAAACCAAAATTGTGATTGCAGTTTTATTTTTGTTTGTCCTTTAAACCAACGGCAATCATGTATATTTTTCTCTCAAGGGTTTCATTGTCTTCATGACCTTGACAGAGTCCATTGTTCAGGGGCTTTACTGTATGGCTGCAAACCTATTTAAGTCATTTAATTCTACCTAAAGGATTGAAGTGAGAATGTATTTGTCTTACTCCTTACATGTAATGAAAATTGCTATATGTAAAATTGCCATTATATTGCAAATACAATTAGTTGCCCAGTCCAGATCTGAACACCACAGAATCCTCACTTGTTTATATCTATGAAGAAAAAAGCTTACACTACCTCTGACAGAGCGTTGCGCAGGTAGGAGGAAATTGGAGGGTTGTCTGTCCTCCAGCGAAAGCGGGTTGTCAGAGTCCCAGTTGGGCAGAAGTCCAACTCCACAGTCCCCTTCAAAGAACCAGTCACTCTGCTCATCATCACCTGCGGACATGGATAGTGTGATCAGAAATGATACGAAAGTCGGAAAATCAGTGTGAGAAAATCAAAAACTGTCTTGAGCTTTGCAGTGAGCTGCACAGCACCAGACCACCCCAAACATTTAGCTGATCCCAGACCTGTCACTCAGCATAGTGTCCACAGGAACCATGCCTCTCACAGTCAAGGTGTAGTGACAACTGTTAAATCAGAGGCCGCCTGGCCCCAGCGCGGCTAATGAGATTAGCAAAGGCTTCAGCGCTCATTAACACGACATGACAACGTCTTATTAGAGTCGCCTGGGTGCCCAGCAACCAGCCCATTGTAGCCAAATCTCTTTATACAGCCCCAGTATTTTCTTAGATTGGAGCGAAGGCACTCTCATCTGACCGCACTTCACAAACTTCAACAAAACTATATATGATAGGGAAGATTCATGTGTGATACCTTGTCTTCCTTCATCATTGGTGAACAGACCGGGGTCACTACTGCACGTGCTGCTGGTTTCCCTACAAAGGAGAGAGACAAGGGGAGAAAAAAAATATAAGACCTGTTTTTATTTGTCACATCAAGCAGGATCTCCTCTAAAGGTCGGTTTAAAGGCATCTGTACAGTGTAAATTAAGATTTCATATGTATGTCTGAAATCAATATCTAAAATGCAGCATTGAGTAACAAAAAATGAAGAGCAGAGCAGGAGGTCGACATAAATAGAAATGACACAAAAAGGCAGAGCGCTGTGTTTCTGCCTCAATGCGATGGGAAACACAAAGGCATCAGGAGGGACTCTGATCGAAGCCACTGAGTGACATGAACAATCTAATTGAATATCCTCCGCTGTCAGCTTCAATCTAATCTGGCCTATGTTGTGGAGGATGACAGCACAGAGAAGCACAGTCCCCCTACCCGCCCTCCCTCTGGGTGTGCCCCTCACACACAGCAATCCCCAGACATGCCACCACTTCCATGAGGCAACTGGCTGACATCTGCTGTGTGGGCTGCTGTCGCTTACCATCCCGACCGCCCCGCTGCTGGTCCGCTCCACACCCTCCGGCAAACCCTTTACACTCCCTCCATGCCCTCTGTGTGCCTGAACCTCATTATTCTGACTCTCATTGTCTTCCTCACATTTCAGTGAATGATGGAGATTCTATTATATTTATCTCTCTTTCTCTTAGCAACATTATCTCTGGTATTTGGCCGCTTGTCATTCATTTTCATTTATTCCACAATACAAGCTTAGCACTGTTTGTTGTTGCCATAACCCACGACTGAGAATTTGTACAAGCATTTTCAATTATTGCTTGTTATGCTAAGGCTCCAGTTGAGCGATGAAACACTGTTGTCTCCATAACAGAACACTCCTTTGAGAACCAGAGAGGCATCAGTCAATATATTGTTGCTCGTTGATCTTTATTAGTATTTGTTTTACAAATGTTTTACTCATTGTATGCTGTTCATTAAAAAAGTAAGGTCCATCTATGATTCATATTTTTGGGATTATGATACAGAATGTCTTGCAGTTTGCTTCCTGTTTATCATCTCTGACCTTGCTTCCAAGACAAACCTGGAGGGTTCAATATGTGCTGATAGAGAGCTTTGCCATATTGCTGAAGCCTCTGTGTGACGTCAGGATAAGAAAACGCTCATACAAACGTTCCTTCTAGTCTATGGCCATATGGTCCTGCATCATCTCCCCAAACATCTAAGAGAAGCAGATGTGAGAGTGGAGACAGCCTCTCCAGGGAATCTAGAAGATGTCTGGCCTAACCCTGGACAGCCCCTTCACCCCCATCCAGCCTCTTTGACCCCGTCTCTCTGGACCGATTCCCCGGGCAGCTCCTCAGCTGGAAACATCTGCTGGCATTTGATGCACACAAAACATCAGCATCACTAGAGGACACAAGTTCGAACTTTTACAGTACCGACCAGTACTGTGCTAAGCATCAGTAAGTTACGTGTTTCCTTTCCCAGTATTTTGGAGAAATGTTGTGACAAGTCTGGCAAACATGGGTAAAAACAATTAAACAAAGAGACTTTTTTTTTTTTTTTAAGGCTTTAAGTACTGACTAATTTATATAATCTATAACTTACAAACCTATTATTTTAAAGATAAACTTATCTACTTACTCTTAAGTAGTCATCTGTGCCAAATAATGCAATGGAAGAAAATTTGTTGGAGTTTGCATAACAATCAAATTTCAAATCGAATTTGAAAAACAAAACAAAAAACTGGAGGGATTCAAGCTTTAGATCATCCTAGATAAAGAGATGGAGCTACCATGGATGGCTTGGAAAAGATTAAAAAAGCTTTTTTTGAGATATGATGGCCTAGTCAAAGTCTAAACCTAAGCCCAACTGAGAACATATGACGAGAGTTGAAAATGGATCTCCACAGAGGTATTCAGTCCAAAGTGACCAAGTTGGAAGTGAAGATTTCAGTCTCTCAATAAGCAAAGCAGGTAGTAATAAAGGTAAAAAAGGCTTAAAGGTGCGACTGCAGTGAAAAGTGGTTCCATGAGGTACCGATTCAAAGATGGGTGAGGACATACCCGCAGTTAAACAATTTGGAAACCACATATCACTTTCTTTCACTTCACAAATGTGATCTCCTTTCTGTTAGACTGGCAAATAAAATCCTAATGAAATCCAGTGAAGTTTATGGTTAAAAGGTGGCAAAAAAAAGGGATAAGTTCAAGGGTCATAAATACTTCATGAAGACACTGTATGTTCAAGGGAACAAGGGCAAAAACTCCATAGTTAGGGGAGATAAACTTAATACCCCATATGGCCCAATTGTTTCTACACAAGCTAAAGAGGAGAAGTCAAACACAGTATCCAGATGAGCACTAATCATTAGGATATAATCCTCAGCTCCTGGGAGAGGCAGACCGGTTTGCACAGAGATTACAGACGAGCCACCATTTATTGAGCCTTGGCTCATTCTGCAAAGGAATAAAGGAGACGAGCAGTGGAGGGGAGTAAAGTGCTGATAACAATGGATCTGTGGGCTCTTCAAACAAGTTGCTGCAGCCCAAATCTGTGCCCTCTTCCATTGGTGTCTGATTATAAGGTTATCCCACCCTCCCTGAGCTGCAGTAATTGGATTAGTTTCAGAGATTTATGAAAATTAACTTCAGCAAACGCTGAACTGCCTCCTCAAAAACTCCTCATGGAGTTCTGAAAATCTAAATTACGACAGGAAAGAGCAAAGCGAGCTCTGAGAGGCTTTTTGGGCGGTGTTTCTTTGCAAGAAGTCAACATCAACAGAAGTGGCGCACAGCTGGAGACGGAGGCTGGGCCCTGGACGCAGCTACCCACAGGTTAGGACTGCTTGCTTGGCCAGCCTGGGTGCCAGGTGGCCTCAGTGCCAGCAGGCTGGGCCAGGTCTAATCAAGGATGTGGAGTCCAACTGGAGCCTTCAACATCTGCTCTCCTCGCACTCGGCTGGCTGAAGGCAACGCTCTACTCAGTGTGCACATAAGGAGAGTGACCTTGAGGAGGGGCACTTTTCAGCAGACCAAACACTCCAAATGGAAAAGGTTAACAGTTAGAAAGAGACCAAAGGAATCCACATGGTTCAACAATGGCATCCGTGTCTGACATTCAATGGACCACACAGCCTCAAAGCATAAATATTGCTGTTGTAACATTGTCAGCCCCTCATCCCTGCTGCCATTTGTTAATACCCCTTTGCCTCCATCAAGGCTTAACTGTTTGATTGTTCAGCCCTCACTACAGAGTGGCAGTCCACTGAGCAGCAATCAAGACTGTTGCAGTTGTGTAAGTGAGAAATGATTGACAGCACGCTTAGGTGCTCCCATTTATTTCTTCTCCTGGGCTGTTTTCTGTCAGAACGGCTATTGATTTTCCCATAAAGTAAGAAAACAAATACTGTTTAGGGGCTGGGGAGGTCAGCACAAATTAAACCTGAAGACATAAAGCTTTCTCTGCTCCATTAAGAGTTACTTCAAGTGCATGCATGCTTTGGGTGAACAGATGGTGATGAGATCCACAAATAATAAGGGAAATATGTTTAAATACATACAGCTAGCAGATAACCTTCTGTTTAAATCATAATACACCAATAAATAATAACATAAAAACTTTCTACACAGGGCCGTACAATGAAAATACTCAATAAGTCTGTTAAAAGTCTCTATTCTAATGACAAAGGTGGACATCAACCAAGATCATCCACATCTCTGGAAACATGCTTAGGGGTTATTCAAGTCTACTTTTAATCCTGGACCTTGGTTTTTTCCAGAATCTGCTTTGCAAAGACAACTCAATCCTTTGATTTATGTAGATTGCTTGATTTCAATGACATTTTAAACTTGCATTAAAGCTTCCATCTAAAATTCATGTATAGTTTTTTTTTTTTTTTTTTATGAATAATTCTATAGACATAAGTCTGTACAACTTATACCAGCATCATGTCATAGACTGTATTTGTTTGTGTTCATGAAATGGGATGTCTGTTATCCAACTCCATCTCATTTTAGAGTTATATATTACCTTAAATAAAATAGCTACACATAAAATTAGAAAAGGTAAAATACGAGAGAAATCAGACAGATTTATGCTACTTCCTCTCTACATATCGATATGAACACTGGCTCCTCTCTCCTTTGCTTCCCTTGCCTTAGCATAGAACACATTTTCTATATGGTTCAGATCTATGAGCTAATACACATTTTCTACATTTTTTTTAAAATATCCTTTTATTTGAATAAACTCATAATGCCATGTAGCTAAATAAGGTTCCCAGGCACCTGAAAGAGAAATGGACCCATACTAATACTGATGTGTGGACCCAAGGATGCAGCTTTGTGTTGACATCTTTAAGAATGGTTTACTTTTTTACCTTCCTTAACCATTTTCCTCAATGAGACTAGAAAGACAAACGAGTCCTGGTTCAGCCTTGATGCTGATATTGCAGTCTAAGTCAAGTTAAATGAATATCTCATGAGCAAACATGGATTTGTAATAAAGTACCTAGAAGCTATTATTAACAGAAAAAAAATATTATTCAAATAATATTCAATAAATTGAATATGTTTTTCAAAATATGTAAATATTCAAATTATACATATTCCTCCCAGTGATTTTCTGCATGGATTCTGCATGTTTTTGCATGTGTGGGTTCTCTCTAGGTACTGTACTCCTGCATTCTTCCACAGGCCAAAAACATGACTTTTAGGTAGATTGACTTCTCAAATTGTCCTTAGGTGTGAGTGTGTGTAAGGGGTGCATGGTTGTGTGTCTCCATGTTGCCCTGTGATGGACTGGAAAGCCTTTCCAAAGTGTAACCTGCCTTTCTCCCATAGTCAGCATAAGAGAGGGACCAGCACCAACATTACAGATTAAGCTGGAGAAGGCGGACGGATGGAATTATTGATAAGTTACAACTGATTTATAGGGATTGATAGGGGTGTCAAGAAGTTTTCCCCATATGGTTTTGTTAAAACTTTATTGAAACTAAATTTGTTATATGACAAAAAAATAAATAAAAAGCTGGGCATTTTTAATCACACATTTTTTGTGAGCTGCTTTAAAACACAATAGACAGACAAATGCAGTGTTTTGGTATTTATCTGACTCTGTGAGAAACATTCTCATGTTTCAAGTTAAAAGTTGTGGGTTTAATTCCAGGTTTGTCATGTCAAATGTTGAGGGGGCACTGAACAGGTCACATAACCAAAGGCTGCCTATCAATTTGCATATCCGACTATAAAAGTGTGAAAGCTACTGCAATGTAAATCTTTTCCAACCATGATAGTCACAAACGTTCAACACCAAAAGGTTCAAAATGTTCTGTAAAGGCATTCAGTGAAATCATAATAAATTTATTACCTTATAGGTCTTAAGCTGTTCATATCTGTTGCGATTCTTCAAAAACACAGTTAAACTAAAGGTCTTGCTTATTTCATATATTCACTATATGCAGTGTAACAATCTGTTCAGTTTAATAGTTTAAAGTCCCTTGCTGCTAGACCTAAGATCCACATTTAGGTTAGTGAAATGAAGTGTACACAGGAGAGTGCACTCTTGGGCTGTGGGACAAACAGAACTTTAATTACCCACCCAAAGTCAGGCAAATATTTCAAAACAAATCAATACCAGACCAAGTCACTTATGTATTTGTGGCAAAGTCTTTAAAACATAATAATGAGCTGGGGATGCCTGAAGGCAGAAATGCCAAAGATTCCTCCCTCATAATCATCCGGTATAAAAGGATGAAGATTGTCATTCATTTTTAATGTCAATAATTCAAAACGGAGAATATTATTTTAGACTCGGAGGATCTAATGAATATTGATCATTTCATTGACTTTTGTATTGATCATTTTAAATGTAACTTGTTTATAATCTTTTTTCCACTGAATGCAATGCCTCAAAACTCTTGAAATTTTTGTGGCACAGCCATCAAAATCTAAACATCAGTTTGTGTTTTAATTCTAATGATATGGTATTTATGAAAATGAACACAGATGTCTAAAGTTAAAAGAAAAGCATAAATGGTTTGTAAATTTTTTCAAGTAAAAACTGGGGTGTCTGTTTGTATTCAATCCCACTGAAATAATAGGTTATATAAATATAATTTCTTGCAAATATGGAGTTAATAAGTTGGCTCAAAAGGTGGGAGCAAACTGCAAATACACAAAACATGCAACACGTACTGCAAACCAAAAATTAGCACACAAGCACCAAAACACATCCAAAAAAGGGAAGAAAAAAAACCACTGCAAAAGAGAATTTTGCAATCAAAATGGAAAGTAAAGAGCAGCAAAGTGAATGTCCACTACAAATACAAACCCTGCCAGAAATACAAATGGGAGTAACACATAACACACGCATTGATCTCTATTTATTCCCTGGATTGCTGATTGCCCGAAAAAAGTGTAGCCACCATCCGCCATATTGGTACCGAATCCCACGGAGGGTGCAGTCAAAATGCCTATGTGTTTAGCATTTTGGTGCAAAAACAAGCAGTTTGCCGGCTCTGGCAAGACGTTTCACAAAAAAGTGGATGTGCTAACCAAGAAAATTCATATATACGCCGATGTATTCTATAGTATAGTATGTTGCTCAACATTATACTGGCTACCTCAGACTGACTTGAAGATATTGACTGAGTTAGCCATTGACATTGTGTCTAACATTAGAAAATAGAAAGTAGACTAATAAATATAAATAAAGAAATATACTGCATGTTATTTTGAAGGAACAAAACAACTCAAACATTTGACCCTCACACACACAAATATATATATATATATATATATATATATATATATATATATATATATATATATATATATATAGTAGGGATGGAACGGTTTAGAGCTGGGCGATATGGCGATATATATCGTGAGGACGAGAGAAACATGTCTATCGTGACCTTTCTCCTCTATTTTTTCTATCGTGATAAACTTTTTTATTTTATCTTAACTTTTTTTAGCCAAGATTCTATACTGTTCACTGTCATGGCCGCAAATTGCATAACTGGTGTTCTTGGTTTGGGGTTGGGATTCTCATATTAGGAAACAAGATGATGGGTAAAAAATAGGCAATGAAAGATTTTTTTCAACCCTGTCCATCTGACGGACTATGAAAACATAAAATGCAACATCAGTTGTGGCATATCGTGATATATATCGTTATCGTGATATAAAATAATCCATATCGTGATATAGTTTTTTTTCCATATCGCCCAGCCCTAGAACGGTTTATGAAAACCGTCCAAACTGTTCGGTTCGACTTTCTCGGTTCGATTCGCGTGTGTTGCGTTCGGTTCATGCGCTGCTCCTTTTTCTCATAGTGAAGCGTCTCCAGAAGCAGAAGGTGGCGGTAATAAGTCCAAAGCCAACCACCGGTAGTAAACAAGAAGAAGAAGCGAAGCAGTGGAGCCGGGTGTAGCAGAAAGAAATCAGTTGTTGTGGAGAATTGTGTGGGTATGGCGAGTGGAAAAGAACAGGAGTTGGAAGACGCACCAGCAGCACTTTATAGGTCTGCTGTATGGGACCACTTTGCATTCATGCTGCGTTCACACCGGACGCGGATGTAAGTTTACATGCAAATTCAATGGTTGATGCGCGTCAAGGTGCAGCAAAAGGCCTCATAGCGCGATCTGAGCAGCTGAAGCAGCGTGTCGGGAGCGTTTAAGCATTTAACGCACCGCAAACGCGCTGCTGCTCAAGATGGAAAAAATTAACTTTTGCTGCTTGACGCGCCACATCAACCAATCACAGAAGCTGATCTGGGAGCTGGCGAGGGAGAGACACATTGCTGATGATACATAGCTCTATGATCACTCCTCTGAAACAGTTTTATTAACGCCTAAATTAACTTAAAATGCTGAAACCTGGTACAAGCAGCAAAAAGGAAGCAGCAGACGTGTTTTTGCTGCTCCTGCTGCGTCCAGTGTGAACGTAGCATTAGAGTGACCTACGATGACGGTGGAAAGTTGTTGATAAAAGTGCAACAGTGTGCAAGCATTGTGCAACACGTTTTGTTTATGCTAACAGCAACATGACCAACATGTCCGGCTAACAATCAACATATACCGAACCGAACACCGTGACCACAAAACCGTGAACCGAACCGTGGATTTTGTGAACCATTCCACCCCTAATATATATATATATATATATATATGCATGCACAATTTGCAAATAGAAAAATACTACAATATTAACAGACATGTACGTCTAATTCAATCTTTTAGTAAGATCTTGAAACTGTGTGTAATATGTAATTACCATAACAATGTCATCAGTACATGTCTATTAAATGTACATCAATTTAGCAATTTTGGCACACCTATATAATTATGCTACATTAACACAATATTGTGGTGATGGATTTGTATAATATGTTATATTACATGATTTTGAGACTTCATTGACTTCATGACTATGCAATTTGATGTGCCTATTTTTTTTTAAAGTTAAAGTCATCTACTTATGCTATGAAACAGCAAGTGTGTGTCCAGGTGATGAATTTTTATCTTTATTTTAAGAGTTAAATCCCACTTGAATGAGAACATCATTGTTCTTTAATGCTGTTGCGCACATATTGTTTACATTGCGATCGGTCTAACTAGGGAGTACCAATATGGCGGCCAACTGGCTTCACTTCAACCCCGTACAACCAACCGGCATTCAGTGAAAAAAATGGAGGTTGTTATAACACATGCTAATGCTAAAAAGCGCTGCTAGAGAGAAAAGGTGCAATCATTGAACATGGGTAGAAGCAAAGTGAATATGCACTAAAACTGTTGGCAAACACATGGATAAAGCTAAAAAATAAACTAAAAAAAATGGTAAGAGAAAATGCTGCAAGTAGCAAAAACAACTTCAGAAAAGCTGCAAACTAGCTCTAAAAACAAATGGGCTCCAGACCCCTAGGCGGAGTCTATAAAATAAAGAGTAAATAAAAAGAGGAGCATATCTCGTCATATAAATTATTATGGTTTTATTACCAACCCAGAGAATCAGCCTCAAAACCCTTCATCTTTAGAAATTAGGTTAAAAAATACAGAAACTAAAACTCTTAAAATTGTTTCCTGAAAAAAAAAAAAAAAAAAGATTTTACATTACCCATCAGACATATTCTCATCTGGAGCATCTCTACGTTCCTTGGCCATCTGTCTTTTCCAACACTCCTTTCCCATCACTCTGCCTCCTTCAGCCTGTCTCTCGGCTGCTGTCCAACTGCTTGACCTTCTTCTAGATCCCGATAAACGTTGCAACTTAGAAGGCCTGTGTCTCTTCCTTCCGTCATGTAGCTTCTGCTGAAGTCTGATTGTCATGTTTGAAGTCATACGCTTGACCTTCCTGCGCCTTCTGAGAGGCTGCCCTGGATTACTATCAGTGAAGGAATCAGACTCTGGCCAGGACGGATGTCTGGATCTGCCAGGGACTGTTGATCTGACAGGGGCCCTGGCAACATGAGGCCAGTGGTCGGCAGTGGCCATGTCGTCTGAATCACTGTAGTTTGCCACAGCTGTGGAAAAAGAGGAGGATAAGTTCTCTCTGTACTCTTTGGCCTCATCCATGCTAGATTCAGGCGCTTCGTTCCAGCGACGTCTGCAAGCCACAGGATAGATGGAGGACTCGTGAAGGCGTTTCCGACCTCTGCGGCGGCGAATCTGCCGTCGGTGCTGCAGCGGACTCAGGACCATTTCCTCCCACAGCTCCCCTAATTTGGTCTGCTCTGAGGCTTGCTCCAGCGCAGACACCAAGTCCTGCACCAGCTCATCCATCATGATGCTTGAAACCGGGGGCACAAAAAGAGAAAGAGTTAAAACGAGACACTTATGCACAAGAGTAGAACACAGAAAAACACAGGAATCCTAAAGCACTGATGTGCAGCCTTCAGATATGGCTGCTTTGAGGATTACTTGTTTCAGACATTAAAAATACTGACATAATTGAAAAAGCACAGTTTTCTTTTTTTTTTCACCCTTTACCAAAAAAAGTTAATTCCTAATTAAGCATCATAAAATTAGAACACATTAGAAAATAATAATATATAGCTTGAAATATTAGGGCTTTGGAAAAATAGTTTAAAAGGGAAATAATATTTGTGCATTACACCATTTAAGATGTGCAGCAATTTCAATGTTTTTACTTTCACATTTACTTTTCTACATTTACCAGAAACTAAAGCAAGCCTGTAGCTTTTTTTTATTTAATGAGCCGACCATTAACTTTATCATACTTAACTAAAAGCGGCACAGTATCAGAAAACACGTATTTAAATAGCACATATTAAACCACTTGTGCAATCACTTCAGCACTAAAAGATTTGACCCCTAGATGAACTATAAAGGGAACGAGCAGAGAAGAGAAGAGAGGAAAAGAAAAGAATGATGAAAAGAAGCTGCCCTAGCGGTGCAGAAAAGTGGAGGAAGAAGGAGGAAAGTAGGAAGCTGCTTTCAAAGTTACTAAAAAATGACTGACTTCGGCTTCTTCACTGCGGCAGCGGCAAACACCAGCAGCAGTAACACCCAATCAGCAGCAGTCTCAGATGTAACATTGGCACCTGAGGAGGAGGGTCCTTCGCATGGAGATGAATTACTGGTGACTATAAGTATTTATTTATCTTATTGAAGATGGGTCATTTTGAAATCAGCTTTGAATTTCGTTTGTATTTGCTAGTCCAGCATCATCCATTCAGCTAGTAAGCAGTGCACTTCTGGAAGATGACCCAGCACTGTGGCCAAAGAAGCTGTGTGATCGAGCACGCTGCTCGATAGTACGGAGAGGACTACTCCAGGTGAAGGACAGGATCTTTCCAAAAAAAAGGAGACGGGCGCAGATATACTTCCAGATATATTATTTCATTCAAATGATAAATGGAGAACAGATAAGCAGATCATTGGACTGTGTTATTCACTTTTACCATCGCCTTTTTGGAGACACAGGAAGGAGGAATCAGCTTAGTGAGCTTATTGCTTGGGAAAAAATCTTTCATTCCTTTTGAGACAGCATGAAAAGCACAAAAAAGAGAGGAAAACAACAAGAAAAGGGACAAGAAGAGAGAAAAAAAACATAGAATAAATAATGTATGTCTATTCTATAAAAATTTCTGTATCTGTATGATGGGTCTGTTTTATGTGTTGTCTTCTCAATTCAGAGGGCCCCCTGCCTGTCTTTGCCTAAGGCCCCAAATTTCCTAAATGCGCCCCTGTCAAAGGGAAATTGTTTGTTTTTTTTTACCATTTCTGGTCATTTAATGGATGCATCTCTGATTCCATAAAAGACACACATACCTGTGCTAATATACCTTTAATGTGCTTCTGGCGCTGATATACTCGATTTTAAATCCCATTGGTTTCTCTTTAAGTCCACATGTGATTCATTATTTTTGCAGACTTTCATAGATAACAGCTTAAACTAGGAGCTTCTCTCTTTAAATCGCGCCAGTGTAGAGAAGAGCACCTTCCCAGCCTCTAAGAAAGGTTAGAAATGTTTTCATGAGCAGAGAAGCAGCCATACTGCAGTGCAGCTTTGCAGCATCACTGCAGCAGAACAACAGCAGAGGCATGCTGTAGTAATCTGCATGCTCTGAGGTGTTGCATAACAGCTCACATGTGAGCTCAGCACAAGGACAGCCAAGCAGCTCCTAACCTGTCAGCACAACGAGCTGTTTATACGCGCTTAAAGCGGTCAGACTTACATAAACACCTTCTCTATAGATCTGCTGTAAAACTAGAAACAATGAAACTCCAAAGGCTCTGAGGACTCACCAGTCGCAGCTTGACTTGTTTTGTTTTCAGCACTCAGCTGGGGAAACAGACGCACTTCCGCCCTGCAGTGCAGCCAATCAGGTGGCCCCGCCTCGCCGTCACGTCATCCAAAACACTAGCGCAGTCTCCACAGATAGGAAGTCACATGTCAGCCTGCCAAAACCTAGATAAAAATGTAACTTCCGCTTCATGATCTTAATAGATTCATTCTGACTAATTATATGATCATTAAACTGTCCATTTAGTGACGCATCATTGTTTCATTCATGTTTTGTTAGTTTTGAATGTTTCATTCACATCTGTATGTGCATCTAAGGAAATGTAAACATCACTTTTATTAAGGCAAGGCAAGGCAAATTTATATGTATAGCACAATTAAGTACAAAGACAATGCAAAGTGCTTTACATGATTAAAATATAGGAAAATAAAACAGAATCAAGGCAATTAGGGAAAAAAATAAAATATGCTCCCTGGGATACAGGGAGCCAGTGTAAGGACTTTAGAACTGGGGTGATGTGCTCTACTTTCTTAGTCTTAGTGAGCAGTAAAGACAGTGTAATAACACAAGGCTTTACCTTAAGTTTGATTATTGTGGTTTATAGCATAAAAACCAAAATCATTTTGGACAAAACTATTTCAGCATATCAAATCCTTCCAGTATTGATAGCTTTTATTGAGAATATTTTGATTGGAAATGAGCAAAGGCAAGGGAGATATAGAGCAAGGGTCTCAAGGTGTCCAGTGTACTGCTACAGGGTGAGCTTCTATTTAACTTTTTTTGAAATTCACAGTCTATTTTAAAGGTATAGTGGAGAAGTTTCACAAATATTCACCCTCTCCACTAAAAAAAAAAATGCACATGCACAACCCTGTACCTGTACCCTGTACGAAGGCATGCACAAGCCTATTTCTCCTCATGCACACACTGTTTAAAAGTTGCTCTTTGTATCGCTCATACAAGCTTGCCTTCCAAAAAAAGATTTGCAGTGTTTCATCTATGTCAGACTTACCACCGGTAAGTGAACATGGGGACAAGCACGTAGGACAGCCTTACATAAACATATCACCAGAATGATTGACACTTATGAGGACCACTCATTTTGATGATCCACCCAGAAAAAGGGCATCTTCCAATATACCTTTAAAGTATGGACCCAAAACTTTGTCATAACTCCATTTTCATGCTGTAACTGCTGGGGTGCAAGAAAGTGAAGCTTTATTAATGAAATCATAATTTGCAAACTTTATTGTCTGGTATTATTTGTACAGTAAAATCTAAGAACTACTCTCTCCAAAATAGTAAAGGAAAAAACAAATCAGTAATTTCATCACAGCATAATTTTCAAAAAAGTTTATTTAATAAGCAGTCATTCATCACCGTAGATAGGAAGAACTTAAATAGTGAAGAATTAATGGGATCTTTTTAGATGGCCTATGGTGTGACATCAAACACCATTGTTCTGTTGTTCTCCATTGTCATATGTTTACCAACCAGTTCAGCCATGCATGCATGTAAACACAGAATTAAAAGTAGGCCATTTCTAGACAAACTGACCACCTATATGAAGTATTACGGGTGTACTTTCTCTCATAAAAACATCTTTAAATGTATTTTATGAAAATTGTAAGATACAGACAACAAAATTTGTACATTCCTCTTCATCAGTTANTAAAGACAGTGTAATAACACAAGGCTTTACCTTAAGTTTGATTATTGTGGTTTATAGCCTAAAAACCAAAATCATTTTGGACAAAACTATTTCAGCATATCAAATCCTTCCAGTATTGATAGCTTTTATTGAGAATATTTTGATTGGAAATGAGCAAAGGCAAGGGAGATATAGAGCAAGGGTCTCAAGGTGTCCAGTGTACTGCTACAGGGTGAGCTTCTATTTTACTTTTTTTGAAATTCACAGTCTATTTTAAAGGTATAGTGGAGAAAATTCACAAATATTCACCCTCTCCACTAAAAAAAAAAATGCACATGCACAACCCTGTACCTGTACCCTGTACGAAGGCATGCACAAGCCTATTTCTCCTCATGCACACACTGTTTAAAAGTTGCTCTTTGTATCGCTCATACAAGCTTGCCTTCCAAAAAAAGATTTGCAGTGTTTCATCTATGTCAGACTTACCACCGGTAAGTGAACATGGGGACAAGCACGTAGGACAGCCTTACATAAACATATCACCAGAATGATTGACACTCATGAGGACCACTCATTTTGATGATCCACCCAGAAAAAGGGCATCTTCCAATATACCTTTAAAGTATGGACCCAAAACTTTGTCATAACTCCATTTTCATGCTGTAACTGCTGAGGTGCAAGAAAGCGAAGCTTTATAAATGAAATCATAATTTGCAAACTTTATTGTCTGGTATTATTTGTACAGTAAAATCTAAGAACTACTCTCTCCAAAATAGTAAAGGAAAAAACAAATCAGTAATTTCATCACAGCATAATTTTCAAAGAAGTTTATCAAAGTGGCCATAAGCAGTGATTCATTACTGTAGATAGGAAGAACTTAAATAGTGAAGAATTAATGGGATCTTTTTAGATGGCCTATGGTGTGACATCAAACACCATCGTTCTGTTGTTCTCCATTGTCATATGTTTACCAACCAGTTCAGCCATGCATGCATGTAAACACAGAATTAAAAGTAGGCCATTTCTAGACAAACTGACCACCTATATGAAGTATTACGGGTGTACTTTCTCTCATAAAAACATCTTTAAATGTATTTTATGAAAATTGTAAGATACAGACAACAAAATTTGTACATTCCTCTTCATCAGTTACTGCCGCAGCTGCTGGAATAAAGTACTGCGTCGTCACTCAAATGACTCCTCACAAGCCCCAAGAAAGTAAAGCCCCAAGTAAATTTACTTGGGGGTGGAAGAGGTTGCAGTTGCAGTGGAGGTAGATGGAAGCGTTGCTTGTCACACATCTAGTTTTGGTTTACAGACAGCCCAACTTGTAGGTGGAATTTCACTTATTGCTGCTTTGAAATGTAAAAAGTGGAAAATATGTCTGTCTTCTTTTCATAACCTTAAAAAACTCTAGCAACAGATTACCTTCTGAAGTCAGCTACCTTGTACATTTATTTCCTTGGGTGTTGATTATTCTCAGAAAAAATGCAGTCATTAAAAATGGCTTCAGAGGTTTTGAGAACATCAGTGAACAAATGGCACAAATACCAAAAAAAACAGTTACAGACAGTACAATACTATGATGTTCAGATCTTGGTCAAAGAGTAAAGAGAAAAGGAAGCCATCTTTGACAACAGACATCCACCTTCATCTAAAAATCACAAATCAGCCTCGGCTGAAGGCCGATCTCACAGAGCCTGGTTGTGCTCGAGTTAAAAAGAAGCTGTCCTCATTAATGTCGCTGCATGCATGCTTGTTGTTTTGTGGTTGCCATGACCCGGATCACTGAGAATTAGCAAAGGCAATATCTACACCTGCCAATATCCATATCTCACATAGCCCCCTTCATTCAGCTCATTTAAAAAAAGGAAACAGTTTTGCACAATTACAAATCTACCGGGAGCTGATTGACTAACTTTTTACACTGACATGAGAGTTGTGGTGAACATTACTCACAGAAGCTTCTAAGAGGCTATAGTAACTCCTGGGTCTTGAATGCTAATGTTGTATGAGGGGAAATTTAAGATTGAAAATCACCATTCTATTGGGGAAACATGGTGGTGGCAGTGTTATACTGTGGATATGCTGTTCTTAAATAGAAATAGGGAAGCTGGTCAAAGTTGTTGGGAAGATGGATATAGGTTAATGTAGGATAATCCTGAAGGAAAAGTTGTTACAGGCTGAAAAATATATCTCTTCAGTAGGATGACTCAAAACACACAACCAGAGTCTCAGTGAAATGTCTTTAATAAAATCATTGTCATGGGTTAGAATTAAAGACAAATTCAAATTCTGGGTTGTCATTTTCTTTTTACCGTCACACTGATGTATTATTTTGTGCTGGTATATCATTAACCCATTTAAAATATAAGGAAGTTTGTCATTGCAATGTGACAAAATAAGAAGAGTACAAGTTGTGTACTTTACAAGGCAATGTAAAAAGTTGTTTAGTTACAGTAACTGCTGAGTAGATGTGTTTCCTGCTGATAATTTACCTTTTAAAACAATATTGGATTAAAATTTTCCTTTAGAGGACAAGTCGGTAATGAAGAGTTGCTTCCAAAAGCCAATGCTGTTGCAGAATCAGGCAGAAAAGTCATTTGGCACTTCATTCATCTATCAGATGAAGACAGCCCAAATAATAAAAAAGAAAAGTCTGTGAAAACGAGTACAAAAGCCATTTAATCGTTCTCATCTTCTCTTAATAACTGCAAATTTCCCCCTGGGCCCAGGGGAGAGGGCCTCTCTGTGCTGCTGCCCCCTTATCTGCCTCCTCCACATTTCAGCAAGCCGAGCAGCTCAGGCAGTTCCTAGCTCCTGGCTTGTTCTCGTTCAGGGCCTGTGGGGAAGCTGGGCTCATGGGTCCACCATTGTTCTGGCCTGGGAGGAAAGCCCAGAGAGAATACGGAAAACCAAAGAGTGGGAATATTAAAAAAGAAAAAAAAAAAAGAAAGAGCCACTACTTCATTAAGTAGAATCCTTTCACAAGCAAACATATCAGAAAGAGAGCCCCTTTCAGAGGCAGTAATTAGCAATTTGGAAACCTTTCCCCCTCAGGATATACTGTTTCAATTTAGTCAGCAGCTTTAGATACTTTGCCACTTAATATTCATTGTTTCTACCACCTTTCAAATTTCTCTATATACAATGTCTGGTCTTTCTGTAGTGATAAAATGCTTTATCTGACATGTAATTCTTCTCTTCAGTGAGCCAACCGTGAGGACAGTTAATCTGTATGAAATACTTTTAAAGAAATTATGAAAACTAAAGACACACGAGCCTCACAAAGCAGAGCGGTCCAGGATTTTATGAGCCCCATTTTCTTCAGGGACTCAGTCCCAATCACCAAAGCACTGCAGATTTTTAATTAATATTGTCAAATAATTTCACTAGAAAACATTTTCTGTGCAATTCT